CCACCCAGGCGCCCATGATGTGACTTTTAAAAGAAGTTTAAGATATAATTTTTCAGATTTCATCCAGCCTAGCCTCACAGGTACGATGACATCAAAGTTGTTTTAAAGAGATGCCTGTTTATCCTCACTTTAAGGGTCTGGAGACTTCTTGGTTTTATGGAGTCCTTGTGTTATCAAAACCAGTGGTTCCCAAAACTGGTTGAATATCCAAGTCCTCCCACCCCATCTTAGATTTATGGAATCATAGGCCCCATAGATGATCTGTATTTACAAAACAAACCAACAAAATTCTCCAGTCATTCCAATACCCTGTTGTTGGCCCTGCATTTGGGAAGCAGATCTATCTGAGCATTGAGAAGACAGACTGACCAGCTCAGAGCAGAAGAGACTGTTTGAGGAAGGCAGCCTAGAAAACATGAGTTACTTTAAGGATTATTGAAAATCCAAGCTTCAGTTCTTAGCATGATGGGAATGTGTTTGGTCTAAACTTCTTTGTTTCTGGATTGGGTAGCAGTGATTTTGCATGTTGTGGAGGCAGAATTTTATGAATGGAGGAAACTAAGTGACAGGAACTTGTGGCTAATGATGGTGAAATTTTACTTCTCCCACTATGCATATGTCCCTTTAAATGAGCAGGTACTGCATGTGTTATAAATTTTAAAGTGAAGTGGCTTTGTGTTTATTATTCAAAGAATAGAAAACGTGTTTCACGTATGATGTATCCTGGGAAGATACTGTCTCTATATGCATGCTCTAGTGTGGAAAAGAGGAATTGTTTCTCCCTGGACTTGGAGGAAGGTGGCAGTAATATGACTGAATCCATGTAACAGCAAGATGTTTAAACAAGGAAAATTGATAGCAGGCAATTCCTGTTGTCCCACATAACTTTCTCTAGAACCACTTGGCCTTTCCCACATTTCTGTTTCTTTTTACATTTTATAATTCTGTGCCTTACGATCTAGTTACATACATGGATGTTGAAACAGCTTTCTCTGTGAAACCTGAAGATTCAAGGAGAGCTTAAATTATTCTAGTGAGAAGCTGTTGAAGGCAGATTAAAAAAAACTTTCCTCTACCCTCTTAGGTTCTGTCTTTGGGGCCCTGCAACTTAGACTGACTACAGACAGATTAACAAGAGAAAAAAAAAAAAGAGTTTATCCAGACATGCATTGTGCGTACACATGGGAAAAACTCAGTGATGAGTAACTCAAAGAGGTGGTTAGAACTTGGGCTTATATAGCATCTTAACAAAGAACAATAACTTCATAGAGAAGTGACAAGAGAAAGGAAGAGGTTTTAGGCTTCTAAGGGTGGCACATTGTCAGAAGGTAAATACGGGTGGAAACTAACGAAGGTTTGTGTGGGTCCTTCTTCATGGCCATAAAACGTCCCCGGGAGAGGGGGATTTATGGCAGTCCTTATGTCTGTGTTTCTGCTTTTAGTCAGATAAGGGAAGTTCCAGGAAGGCTTCTTTCTGCATCTGTCAAATCTCAAATGTCTTTAGTGCAATAATCCTTACATCTGAGTGGTATATTTGGGATGGCATATTTTGATCCTCTATATTGTTCTCTGTGGGGATGAGGGTGAGAAGACAGTAAAACCTCACCATAATGATACAAGTAGAGACCAAAAACTTCAATCACATACAAGGCAGGGTGGATCCTTGCAAAGTCAATGAAGTGAAAATGGGGAATGGGAGCAAATTGGGTATTATCTGAACACTTGCAGGGATGACTGTTTCTATTTACTGTGTCTAGTACACTAAGACTTGCACGACATTATAGTTGATATCCATATGAATTCTTCCATTTTTTCTTCTGTTCTGGAGGTAGTTTTTTAGATTACTGTTTGCAGAGTGTATCTGCCTATAGTCTTCCAGGTTACACTTAAGGCTCTAATACTTGGCAGTATTTTTCCTTCCCCTAGTAACTGCCTGTCACTGCAGTTCCTTGGGGTTTGGAAAATAGAGAATTTATGCTAAATAAGCCCTTTGTAAGAGTTGGATCCAAAGAAAAGAAAACAGACTGTAAAAGTCAGGATTTTATCCATGTGCTCCAGTCCTTGGAATTCATTCCCACGTTCATGTAGAGGATCATCTGTAGTATTAAGTATATTAGACTTTGTAGCACTCTTTGTGTATATTGTTTACTAATTATGCTACCATGAAATGATCTTCCTGTGTTCCCTTCTGCCAACTGTTCTTATTTAAAGATTTTGCTCTCCATTGTTGTTTAATTATCCAGCTTTTGCCTGCTTCACAGCTTAAAAGCACTGAGAGCTTAATCTTTAACAGCTCAACCAACACATTTATATATTGGTGAATAAGATGAACTTAGTAACATAAATTTTTCTTTTTAAAAATCCTCCTTAGTCACTCTTTAGTAATGAGAGACAGAAATGTGCTTTGAATTCTGCGCCCTTATAAGAAGGGAATATGATGCAGTTTCCTTGTGAAATAGAAAATTGGGAAAAGCTGGATTATTTGCGACATGTTACCATTAGAGAATTTCAGTAATAGTGACTGGAGATATTAACTAGAGATGATTCATTATGCAATGACTGATCGTGTCAGTTAGGAGCCATTCAGGAAAACAGAAACCATGCCAATTATTGTATTGTATTTAGTTTGTTTGTTTGTTTGTTTGTTTGTTTATTTATTTATAGTGATCTCTATACCCAGCCTGGGGCTCAGACTTACAACCCCAAGATCAGGGGTCGCATGCTCTTTGGACTGAGGCATCCAGGTGCCCCCATGCTAAGTATTTTAAATAGAGAAGATTCTATGTAGGGAATTGTTTAAACAATTGTTGGAAGGCTGGATGACAGAAATGGAAAGATGATGTTAACTCTGAGACTATAAGGAAACCCTGGAGGGTTACATGAACAAACAGGAGGAAATGGCACTACTAGAATATAAAGGGGCTGCCATCTCAGGAGCCGCCATAATCTCAAGAGCTAAAATCATGAAGGAGGACCACTGCTTCCAGCCTGGCAGTGGAGGGGGAGACATAGCCCCTTCAGATGCACGGCCAAGGAGAAGGAGGGACAGTGTGAGAGTGAGGGAAAGGGCCCCTCTTGCAGCCATCTGATGTCACCCATGACTCCTGCTGGCAGAAACCTAGCAAGGAGCCAGGTGGCAAAGGACTCTGAGAAATGTGTTTTGCAGAGTACGGAAGGATGGGTATAGATAGAGCTCATGGGTAAATAATGTGTGCATTACCTGTCCCCTGTCTGGGTGAGTAGTTCTGGCCAAATCACCATTTTTCCCTGCTTCCCTTAAAGTGCTGGTTCACTTCATATAGATGCTATAAGAAGGGGAGAGTTGAGACAAAATAAAAGTACAGTAAATTTTACCTGATTCAGTCTGTTGTTCTTCAGTAAATAGTAGTAAGAAGAAGAAATAATAAAATATGTGAAGAATTTTGTTGTTGTGTAAATGAAGTTTTGTTGGTTTGCCTATGTATTAAGAATGTCACCACAGATTTTGTCCAACTGACTCAAATGCATGTCACTCGCTAGAGAGACTTGACCAAGAAATCAGTGGAAACTCCGATACAAGCAATTAAATATTGGTATAATTAACACCCTTAATTATTTTACTTTTTGAACTTCTCACATCATTTCCTTACTTACAGGGTGAAATATTGTGACTGGAGTTTTCTGAGTCTCATGGGAAATCTGACAACATCATCAGCAAATGGATATTCATAGGGTTTCCATAATTAAACCCTTATTTTCCTTACCTAATATGCCACCTGTTTGCTGTGGGTGGGTGGGTCATAAAGTCAAAATGTTTCTGTTGTCTAATAAAAAGACTTGCCAGTTAGGAAGGAATTGCCTTAAACTTGGATAAATTGTTATCCTTTGTAGTTTTTGCAGAGGTAAAGGAACTAAGTTCATTCAAATAAGATGGGCATTTCAACTGAGTTAAAGAGGGCGAGAGGATCACCTGCTAGAAAAAATCCATCACTTTCTCCCTCGGAATGCTCTTACTAACCATGCACATTGAGAGCCACACATTTTGTGGTGTTTTCAGTGTTAAACAACACGCCCTCTCAAAAGAAAGCCAACAGATAAAATTCTCTCCTTCCTAAAGGAGGCAAACAGGCCTCAAATTGCCAAAGCAGGGCGCCTGGCTGGCTCAGTCCGTAGAGCACGCAACTCTTGATCTCGGGGTTGTGAGTTCAAGCTCCACGTTGGGTGTAGAGATTACTTAAAAATAAAATCTTAAAAAAAAAATCGCCAAGGGGTTTCATGTTGCCACTTAAGACTTTTCCAAGGAGTTCACTAATATGTCTGACACACTCATCACTTTGTATGTAGCTTAGATGTAAGCAGGAAGAGCCTACTAAAGCATCCTTCACAAGGTGAATTTGACATATGTAGCTGTTACATTAAATATTTTATTTACCGCTTTAAATAATACCTTACCAAAGATACACTATGTGAAGTCTTTCTAGAAAAAGAGTAATGATTAGGTTTTTAATTCATGTCTCTCCAGGAGTCTTAAATATTAGTTGACGCCTAGAATCGCTAAATTATGAATTACAGTCAAGAGGTTGTAGGCTCAGGAACTAGACCACCTGATGCTCATTCCTGTTTACCATTTCTAGACACGTAACTTTGAGCAACATGTAACTTTGAGAAATTAACTTAATTTCTCTGTGCCTCCGTTGTTCCATCTGTACAATGGGGATGGTTATCTACTTCAGTGAGATATTTTGAGGATCAAACGAGTTCCTGTGAAAACTTAGAAGTTCAGTAAGCACTAGTTAGGCTTTGTTTAGTTTGGGGTTTGGTTTTGGGTATGTCTTAGATGAAGCAACGACATTGGAATATTGATTTTTGAGGGCCGTGCTTTATTTTCAGTATGCAGATCTAAACCGCCACGTGGATGCCCTGAACGCGTGGAGGAATGCGACTGTGCTGAAGCCGGAACACAGTTTGGCTTGGAACAACATGATCATACTCCTCGATAACACAGGTACAGAAAGGCGCCTTGCATACATCAGAGGACAAGACGCCACAGTACCATGCCACTGGATAAGTAGGAAACAGATTATATGTGCTTTTTTTCTCTAGTGTGTATGAGTTTAAAAAAAAAAAATAATATGGGCTAATATTTTACATGACAAAAATTATTCTTATAGAAAATAGAGTTTCCTTTGACATATTGAAATATGTATGTTTGGGGGAAATGACACTTAGAATTAGTTCTGAGCCATAGGGGAAGATGGGCGCTAATATCTCATTTCTTCTGGAGCCTGTAATCTAGCATTGTCCGTCATCTAGGCTGCTGGAGGTACCCAAAAGTGAACAGTAATGGCTTTGGGGTTAATAAATGCAAGGTCCATGCTCTACAGTTCATGGACTCTTCTTAAAGGAGATGCCCTCAAACCTACACTCAGAGCCTTGGATTCTTAGTTGAGATATAATGCTAACAGACTTGACAGTGTGGTTTCTCAGCCAGGATCTTAGCTCCATCAACTGGGAGTTACTCCGCTCCCCTACTTTTGAAAATCCAAGCATCCCATAAGAAATGATAGTTTTAATTTGGCAGAATTTCAAGCCAGTGAGCCATCTAAGCAGTGTGGAAAAGAGATACACACTTGCTTCTCATGAAGGTATAAAATGTGTACTTCAACATGATAAATACTCAGTTATTAAAGTGTTACTATGGATACTGTTATTCTACAGACTGGCTTTCTCCAATTTAGGTGTAACTGGTATCTGGGGAAAAATTAAAATTAGGTTTTATGTGCTTTTACAGAATTTAATCAAAGGCTGTTTGTATATTATATCAGAATTGTGCTGGACTGCAGTGGTTTTGCAACTGATCGCGTCGTGTGTGTGTGTTGTGTATATACGTGTATTATGTTGTGTGTATGTGTGGATAGGTGTATCGTGCATGTGTGTGTTGTATGTGCATATGTACGTTGTGTAGATACTGTATGTGTACATGTGTTATGCATTCTTTTTTTTTTTTTTAAGATTTTATTTATTTATTTGACGGAGACACAGCGAGAGAGGGAACACAAGCAGGGGGAGTGGGAGAGGGGGAAACAGGCTTCCTGCCGAGCAGGGAGCCTGATGCGGGGCTCGATCCCAGGACCCTGACAGATCACGAGCTGAGCCGAAGGCAGACGCCTAACGACTGAGCCACCCAGGCGCCCCATGTTACGCATTCTTCATTGATTTTCTTAAGGAGTTATTCCTAATCATTGTGTACAATGCACATAAGCACTGTTAGACAGAATGAAATACCAGTACAATGTTAACATGTTTTCTTAAGTGTTTCTGTGTTTTCCTTGCAGGTAATTTAGCCCAAGCTGAAGCAGTTGGAAGAGAGGCACTGGAATTAATACCTAATGATCACTCTCTGATGTTCTCGTTGGCAAACGTGCTGGGGAAGTCCCAGAAATACAAGGTGTGTAAAGCGGAGGCTGCGATTTCTTGCGATCAATGCCAGCATCTGACAGAAGCCATAAATGTTATTTCTGCCCAGTTAAATTCAGAATTAGGCCAAAACAGTGAGAGCCGTGCACCAGTGTGACTTGGTCAATTTGCTTTCTGGAGAAGCCGCCCAAAAGATGGATTTGCAGGGTCAGACTTCATGTCCTTTCTCATCAGCGTTCATTACCGTTGCGCAAACGTGGGGAGGGGAGGAGAAGCCCCAAAGAAGAGGCAGTGACAGCTCATCCTAGCAGCTGCCCAGCCCCCACCCTGGCGCCTGCCAGTTTCTGCACTAAAGGAACAACAGCCCATGGGGAATACAGGACTAGTGCTTGCTGCCTCCAGGTTTCTCCACATCTAGAGTTACGTCGTAGGTCATCCGCAAGGCCCTGGAAAGGCTGACCAACGGAACCACAAGATACGAGATCCGGGCTCTCTCTGACCTGGCTCCCAGGACTGGCCAGGAGTGGACTATGAATCAAAAGGGGCACAATGCCCTGTGTCCCTAAGGGGACCCAGGGTTCCTAACACCCGTGATCTCAAACTTTAAATTTATGTGTCAGAGCCAGGGAGGGAGTGTGTTAGATGCAGCTGGCCCACATTCCTCCCCACAAGAGGTGCTGTCTCAGTTGGCGGGGTAACGTCAGGCATGGTGCACTTTTAACTAGCATCCTGGGTTTCTAACGCAGATGTTACAGAAAACACACTTCCAGAAGCAGGACCTTAATCCTTCGTGACAGAAGGATTTTCTTTCGGAATCGAGAGCTCTGTCTGATTTTGATCACATGAGGCCTAAGGAGGTGATTAATTCATGTTTGTCCCACGTATTTACTTCTCTTCTGCTCATCAGATATCATTATCAGCATAGTTTTCCACAATAACAGTAAGATATTGCATGCACGTCTCTCATTTTCAAATATCAGGGAGTTTAAAAAAATTAAAAATTAAAAAATTAAAATAAAATAAGTATCAGGGAGTTTAATAGCTTCAGTATATGTTTTAACATTTCTAGCTTTTGCTCCAGAGGATGGTTTTTGAGGGGGTTAATTTTTATTTTTTATGGGTTTACCTGTGTAGAGCTGGGGAAAGAAGGTAAGGTTTGTGGTTTTCCCGTCTCTCGACTTCTCCAGCCTTCTCCATCAGCCTGGGACAGCTCTGGAGCGTCCAGCGACCACCGGCTACAGCTGGTCATTTTCAAGATACAGCTTATGTAACCACTGTACTGATTTTTCTATCATCCCACAGTCTATAAACTAGAATTCTATTAAGGGGACAGAACCCACGGTTCATTTGGCTTCCAGTTCACATTGTTCTTTTTTTCCCCAGATAAAGTAGAAAATACTCCATAGAGCAGAACGGAGAAGTGGGTTTCCTATTTTTCTATACATTTTGCATCCTAATTATCTAGGCCAGGGTGCTGAGCCTAAGATAAGGAAAGAGGAGAAATTTTAAAGTCGATTTAAATTCCCTGGCCTTCCTATTCCTCAAGCTAAATGGTAGTGTTTGAAAGTCGTCAGAAAGCATAGCTACTTAGAGCATAGCTACAAAGCTATACAATCCATTTGATGTGTTTTCCAGTGCACCTAACACGGCAGGGGAACCTTAACACTACCTTGAAGGAGTTTCAGCTACTCTAACTTGGCACGTAGACACTGACTCTGAGTTCTGGAAGTGATGTTTGCTGACATCTTGTATGTTACCCGGATGTCTTCATTCAGTCCTTTTTGGATGACATTTCCAAAATACAAGTTTTTCTCTGCCAGCTCTCTCTAAAAGGTTGTGGTTTCAGAGATGTTTGCCCAAATGCCCAGCCTGCTTCTCAGGAGTACCACAGGCCATCTCAGGACAAAGAATCTGTCTTCCTATACTTTATAAAATGTGTGATCCTAGATGTGGGAAGCCCGCTTGGAAAACTCACAGAAGGTGCAGCTAGAAGGAGCAAACGCATCCCGAACCAACAACTTCAGTGTTTCAGCTTAGTGTTTGATACTCACTAACACATGTGTGTCCCTTCGGGAACACGAATGTATACGGTGTGAATAGCTACCCCGGCAGGTGTCAGCAAAGAACAGTTAGGCATCTTTATTTCCTGGTATTATGGTCGAATGGGACCATCCAGGCAGCCATGGTCCAGTAATGATAAGGTGAGAAGACACTTGGTCCTGCCTCATAGCAACCCGATTGGAAATGAGCACTATTTGGAGGAAATGCAAGTCTATACAAGAATCAGTTCACACCCATCAGGGGCATTTGGTCGTGGTCATACACAGTACTGTGACCGCTTAGATGACAGATGGCCATCCCTCCCTCATTCTCTCTGCTTATTTTTTCCAGATGAATGGGCTACTTATGGATTGCTGAGAGGGTTGTGAGTTCTTGGGGGAGGTTAAATTGGCCCCGGCTCCTACCTTGAGAATCCTGGAAATGAGCTCATTGAGGCTGACTGAAAATAACGATTTTGTGGGTGTCCTCAATCACCCAGCCCTTTCCTGGCCATTTGACTTTGGCTTATCCTCCACTGCACCCTGAACAGAGCTACTTACTTCAAGTTGCAAAATTCCATCCCTTTCTGGGAGGCGGGTAACAGAGCTCCTTAGCATATCCGCCCTCTCTCTGCTGCCCCCACTGCTTTCCACCCGCCCCCCATCTTCCCCTCACCGCTACCCTGTCACCTTTCCCTGTCGCACACTTCCCTGCCTGCCCTTCAGAACCTCTTAACAGGGTGTGGTCCCGCTGGCCTTCCCAGATGTTGCTGGGAGAAGGACACAGTGGTGCACAATGAGGACATTAAAAGTTTGAAAACCGTAAGCAGCAAAACTGTGTGTGGCTTTTGCATAGTGTAATACCTTCTTTTTTATATCATTCTCCAGGAATCTGAAGCTTTATTCCTCAAAGCAATTAAAGCTCATCCAAATGCTGCAAGTTACCATGGCAATTTGGGTAAGGAAATTTTTCCATTTGGATCCTGTTGAAATTCTGTGTGAGTTAAAAGAAATGGGTGCATTTCTGTAAAATCGATATTGGAAGAATGGTTTTTTCAAGCCTAGCCTGTATTAGCCTTTATAATCTGGTTCTAAGATGTGTTTTTTTTTTTTTAAAGAAATTAACACATTAAAAAGGTAGGTATATAATAGTCATATTTACAAATCATAATTGTATGACCAGACCAACCCCAATAATCCCCCACTCAGTTTATCCCCTTCTTATGATCTACTTTGATTTTCTTCCTTTGAAAGATCCTAGAATGTCAAACTGAGAGGTACTTTGGAAGTCTCTGGTCTAATTTACATCCTTTCCCTTCTTCCCTAGTGGGCCTTCCGTTATAACTGACCTCCTCTGTGTTCTTATATTCTCTCGTGTCTTGGCTAAACGTGCATCTACAATAATCTATGCCTTAGAATTCCTTTCTTCCATTTTTACATCTCAATAATTAAGATTTTTAGAGCGTTACAGTGTCAATGTTTAGAATGCTCCACATGTGAATATGTTTTTACCAAATCTGTTCTCTACCGACTCTGTAGCTTCTCGTTGTGAAAATCACGAAGCAGCAACAGTTGCCCTTCTGCCCATGTAAAAAGTTACTTTTACTTACAAAATCACAATAATAATCAGATGCTTTACCATCCTAATAATTAGATTTTAGATACCCTTCTCTGGTCAGATCTTAATGTTAGAGCCCTTATTTCCAGCTAGCAACAAACAAGCTATTATTTTGCCAAAAGATGTAGGGGCATCTTTATTCAGATGCTGGACTTCTGCAGGGCTCTGAGCGGTGATGGAGCCCAGCCCTATGCAGCCTGACTTTCTGGAAATTTCCTGGCAACCTTAGTGTACTCTTCCTTTTACTTCTTTATGTAATAATGTTGCTGTAGGGAGATGGGTCATGTCTGTTGATATGCAGAATCCCAGGAGTAACTGGAGGTGGTTAAACGGATAATCACCAGGGAGTGTGGTTATGATAAATAAAGTTTGTGGTACAAACAATATTATTTCAAACAATGATTTTTGGAAACTGTTTGCAGAGGTGCTTCATATTTTTTTTTTTTTTTTATAAGTGGTTGGGAATACTTCAAGGTATTCAGAAGCACTTCCAATGAAATCCATCTCTTGCTGTTTCAGCTGTGCTTTATCATCGCTGGGGACATCTCAATTTGGCCAAAAAACACTATGAAATCTCTCTGCAGCTTGACCCCACTGCATCAGGAACTAAGGAGAATTATGGTCTGTTAAGAAGAAAGCTGGAACAAGTGCAAAAGAAAGACGTCTGATCCTTTTTTCTTGCATTTTTTGTTTGTGTGCATGAGGCATATCATTAATATTATGTGGTTATGTTTAACCATTTAAAAGTCTTACATGTTGTTTATTTTATTCTGGTTTTTTTTTTCTATGAAAACAAAGACATGCAAAAAGATTACAGCACCAGCAGTATGCTCTTGAAAGCTTGATGTGGTTTTTGCATTGAAATTGTATTTTTTCAGACGACTCAAATGTAAATTCTAAAATTCCAAGAATGAAATCTTTTTTAATTAAAAAGAAAAAAGAAAAAAAATTCTCTGGAGCGACTTGCAGTAGGATGAAACCTGCATCTGGGGTGTGAGCCATGTTGTATAGGGACTAACACTATTGTCTGTCAGTCGTGAGCAAGAAATGACAAACTGACTCCTACAATTTATATAAATATCGAATGTGTCTGTATATTAGAATTCTTATTTAATGACCAGAAAGAGTAAATTAAGATTTTTGTTTTCTTAATCTTTTTTTAAACAGTGCACTAGGAACTTCACTTGTAAGGACATATATTTATTTGTATTCTTATGTTTTGAACAGGGCAAAAAATTGAATGAAGAAAGGAAATTTTAACATCTAGTATATTTATATACTTTTTTCCCCATTGGAAGACACTCACTCCTGCAATAATTTTTGGATTCTCCCAATTTCAGCTTCATAACGTAGGAAATTATGTTGTATTTGTATTCTATATAAGCTGTTATTATTAATAGAAAATTCAAGCCATGCTTTAGGCAAAAGCAGGCAGCCTGATGTCTTTTTGTTACATCCAGTATTAAGAGGGCTACATATCTATGTAAGTTGCTTTTTTATGTTTTTAGCTGTGAAGCAGTTTTCCATTTGGCTTAATGGAACTACAGTCATTACTATATCCACAAAATGCAAGAGCTAAATTTTCTCTTAAAAGGAGCCACATTTGGGGTGTTTGTGATAATTTTAAGAATTGAAATTTTTCCTGTCTTACTGGATCAGAATAATCATGTCTGCTTTGTTTTATTCTTCTGTATATGCTGTTGACCTAATGATTTATGCAATCTCTCTAATTTCTTATGCAGTAAAATTATTACACAAACTGGTATAAAAATGGCGTGTTGCCCTCTTAATAGATGATTTTCGAGTTAGTGAACTTTGTCTTCCTTTCCCTTTAAAAGGAAGTGGCCAATTCGTCCTTCTGGTATGTGGCTTCCCTTTGGTGTCAGGGACCATGCAATAGGATTGCACTCTGGAGTTATCCAGGTTTAGAGAATGGGATGAACAGATCCACAATGAGATGTATTTAATTCTCTACACTCACATTTTGGGGGGCAGATCTGCGTAGAATTGCCATTTAGAAATTGTAACTTAGGATGGTTTAAGGTACATCAGGAAAGAAAGTCCTGGTGTTTGACATACATCAGAAAAGGAAGTGCTGTGTTTCAAACATTTCTTAAAAGGTCCCAAAATAACAGTAACAATTTATAGATCTCTCGGGGGCAGAAGCTGTCTTATTCTTATTTATGTTCCTACAGTATTCAGCTCGGCAGATAACAGATGCACTACAGGCTTGTTGATCTTTTTTGTTTTTAAAGCAAATTTCTTTCTTTAAAACAGTGCTTGCCTTTTGAGAGTAAAGAAAAATATTTCTTGTGAAAGCTCCTTCAGGATTTTTTTTTTCTACCGATACTAAAACTTTTGTGTCAAATCAAGACACGCACATCTGGGACCCTTGCCTGCAGGAGGAATCCCCTTAGCTGTCACCGCTCCATCTCTCGGGATTTCCATCACGGCTGTCTTCTTTCCAGAGAAAACAGTCATTAATTTGATTGATACTTCAGGCAGTCTTCTGTCTCTGCAGAGCTGAGCACTCTTCCTTCTTTCTCCACCCTTTGGTGGCGGCCACCCTCTACTTCTTGGGATTCTATCCCAACATTCCACCGGCCACCAGAAGCAGGACGCTGTGTCCCGGTTCCCCCTTATTTCATTTTAATGTTTTTATTGCTGATAGGGGGTAGGATGGGGGTTTGTCCAGACAGACAAGGGGGAAGTTTCCAGTTTGAGAAATCTCAGAGTCCTGATCCTCATCCTGCACCTCCCTGATGGTGAAATGGCAAAATCCTGAAAAGCATTTTGCAGTAATTGTCTGTTTGCTACATTTCTTCCCTGTTGACATGCATCTTATAAGTAGTTCTCTTAAAAGTTTCATCCTTAGACTTAGCCTGCTGCCTTGATGGGGCTCCTTGGGATTCTGATTCTATCCTATTTCTTAAGCATGGTCTTTATATTTATTTCAAATTACTGACTTAAAATATCACACAGAATAAAAGCCTGAGCCCCGCAGGAAAGCGTTGGACATCCATGTCCGTATTCACATCTATCAGCTTAGACTTTGGGGTGAGAAAACCTAGATTTGGGTCTGGGTTCTCCCACTGTGATGTCATAGGCAAGCCATTTAGCATTGCTTAAGCCTCAGTATCTCACCTGTAAAATGGGGATAATAAGGCCTCCCGCATGGTCATGAAGTACTTGACCCAGGAGACCCTCAATAAATAATAGTTTGGATTTTTGGAGGAGGGTGTAGATTTTGCAGCAAACAGATTTGACCTTAAACGCCCTCATTCGCTCATTCAATGCATCTAAGTACTGGCTGTGTGCCAGATGCCCTCCTAGACACTGGGAATACAGTGGTGAGTGGAAGCGGACATGGCCCCTTGCCCTCAGGTAGGGGATAGTACCGTGAGAGACAATAATTATCAAATAGATAATAAGAGAAGAGGGATGGGGCTCCTGGGTGGCTCAGTCATTGAGCGTCTGCCTTCGGCTCAGGTCATGATCCCGGGGTCCTGGGATCGAGCCCCGCATCGGGCTCCCTGCTCGGCGGGAAGCCTGCTTCTTCCTCTCCCACTTCCCCTGCTTGTGTTCCCTCTCTCGCTGTGTCTCTCTCTGTCAAATATATAAAATCCTTAAAAAAGAGAGAGAGAGAAGAGGGAGACTGGATCTTGCCTGGAGGGGATCCCTGAGAAGGGGGCTTCTGAACTGAGATCTGCTAGGCAGAGAGGAATGAGTTCACTCCAGGCCAGTAGTTCCCGCCCAGGGGAAATTGGGCCCCAGGTGACAGCTGGCAGTGCCTGTCCCGACGGTGGGTGGGAGGATGCTACAAGTGCGCGTTCTACGATGCACACGATAGCCCCCACCAAAGAAAATGGTCTGGCCCCGAGTGCCAGCAGTGCCAAGGCTGAGAACACCTGGACTGCGTGCATAAGAAACGCCACATGCAAAGGCCTTTCAGTGAGAAAGCTAGAGTCCTTGCCGAACGAAGTCTAAGGAGGAGGGGCGGGACACTCGCTGGAGCAGGTAAAGGTGACCAGAGCCAGATTTGCCAGGGTTTGCAGACCGAGCCGTCCTTAACCACGGAAGGCTGCAAAGCAGGGGGGCAACACGATGGGATTTCTGTTTTGAAAAGATGGCTTGGGCTGTCAGTGGGGGAGGAGTTGGAGTGAAGAGACCACTCCATGTGTCCAGGGGAAGGATGAGGGCTTGCTGTAACCAAGTGGCAGTGAAGTTGGAGACATGCGAACTGATCTAAAAATGCTTAGGAGTCACTTGGTGATGGATGGGAGGTGGTGGGTGAGGGAATGGTAGTGTTCCCGTACGGTTAAACATAGATTGATAAAAGCCAAGAGTTAGGACCCAAACCTGGTTGGCGTTTAGCTCTAGAAAAGAGGAAATAAAGTCCCTGTATGTTACAAGTTCCACATAGTGACAGATGTAGACACATCTGGACATTTGTATGGTTGGCCAAACCCCAGTTTGGGAATGAAAAGCATCAGCAAGGCCAGCCAGAATCTTCACAGAGGCTCTGCCAAATATGATGTCCAACAGATGTTCAGGTCACCGGAGCCCCCTTCACTCTACATGGCATTGGTCCCAATTTGGTGATTTGTATTTTGGGATCCATCATGCGTTTCTAGCACTAAACTCACAGCTCTCCATTTCTCTTTCTCCCCTTCTGGGGAGCTTCCACCTTTAGATTTCCACACATGTGTCTGTCTTTTGGACTGGTATGTCTCCTCCCTCAGGGCCCTCTCCCTTTTAAACAGGGTTTACCTTATGTTAACTGACTGGAATTTTAGAAAAAACTTAGGAAAGGGGCGCCTGGGTGGCTCAGATGGTTAAGCGTCTGCCTTCGGCTCAGGTCATGATCCCAGGGTCCTGGGATCGAGTCCCGCATCGGGCTCT